GTACAAACAACATTTCTTCACCAAAACGAGGGTCTGCGGACATGATTTCGGCACCACATTCGGCGAGCTTGTCGATGACGTTGTGTCAGGATAGGCCGTATGGCGGGACGTCGTGGTCTGATCCCGTGATGACGTAAACGTTGTCAAACTGTGTTGGGGTGGATACGGCGAAGTCCTGGGATGGTTAGGGCAGTCATCACTGCAGTCTGAAACCTGTGGCGAAGATGGGTCACCCTTATCCATCTGTCCTGTCTTGGCGTTGTAACACTTGGACGACCAGAACGTGGCCGATCGATGACGTCATTTGTGTTCTAGTAGCGTCTCACCAGTGCAGAAATGGTGTTTTGGTGGCAGTGGAAATGTGCAGCCACTTGTCGTTGAGACATTCCCCCACGGATCACCCCGATGGCCTCATGACGTTGTGCAGACGTGAGCCTTGGCATGCTATGCGTTTCAATAGCCGTTAAATTTGTTGAACGATCGCAAGGGCAGGGGTTGAGCTTTCCGAAGTGACAGTCTTGTGTGGCATTCATTTGCTCTGTTTCTCTTTCCCGGCATGCACGTGCAACAACGTATTGCATGTCTCAAGGACGAACCCACTGACGTCACGGATCGTGGTAAGTGCATGCATGTTGGATACATGTCACTATTCTCTGAGTTTAAATCCTTATGTGTCTACACAGGTTTGATATATTTAGATTTTAAATTTTTGTAGGCAGTTTCTTTATATGCCTAGTATATGTGGATATTTTGTTACAGTCATGATTATTAGTGAATCATCACTGAAATGCACACCAAATTCTCGATGTATGGTATTGTATCAATGCAGCAGACATGTGTAAACTATGTCTAAACATATTTGTATATGAGGAAATCACATTCAATTTCCATGGTGGTAAGACTTCCGTCCGTATCTCCCCTAAATTTTAACGATGAGGAAAACTTTCTTTGAGTGGCATTTTTAGAAGTGGAATATATCTTTCAGTATATTCAGATACAATTAACAAAACACGTTAAAACTCATCCTTATCAGATGAGGAATATTAATTCAGGTGATATGATTTGACTAGAATGAAATTTAAGGGGAGATACAGGCGAAAGTCTTTCCACAATATTTTGGAGCTATTGAAATCATCAAACGTCAAACGATAACTCTTCAGGTCTCATAAAAAAATGAAAGTTGGGCAAGCCCTCAATACCACCTAAATATAAGGCTTTGCTGCCCATAGGGCTATACGAAAAAAATGGCTTGCTACGCGCCTGGCAAACGCACGAGAATTGCAATACGGGCCTCTAACCACTGATTCTCCGTGACCTGGAGACACATGTGACTGAGCGTATGTTGGGACGTCGTCCGTCATACAGACCCTTAAGGAAATATATCCAAGCCCACGCAAGTCTAGAAAATGTGGCAAGTCCAGATTTCCACAGCTTCAGGAGAAAGTCTCAGGGCTCCTGTTCATTATATTATGTATTTTTTTTACTATGAACTTTTTTCTGTAAAATATGTTCATATCAGAGACTAGTTGTTAATCTATGTATGCTGTTACATTTTTAAAATTGTATATGAACATTCGTCCTTGTCTCGGGATAAATGTATATTTTCCACCAAATGTACATTCGGAGGATATCGAAATCTAGGTTAAGCTATTTGAATCATATTTACAATTAAAAGACCCAAACAATGGTTTGTTGTCCAAATGTTTGGTTTTCCATATCTTGTCCCAGTCTGTATCACAGTCAGAGAATGATATTTTTTCACCTTCTGTCTCTAGGAAAACTCACTGCAGGTTTCGGGTTATAGAGTGCCATACCAAACACCCACAGCTGGCGGGACCAACATCTCCAGTAAAATTTACATCTGTCAATGCTTAATCCGCAAGTGGTAAGGCAATAAGCTAATGAGGCTAAGGGTCCTGTACCATGTTTGGTTAATATCTATGATGCCGTATATGAAATCCATCATCTAAGTAAGTCTATCTTTGTATGGCGTTAAGTCACTGCTTTAAGAAAGGGCTCCTTTAGAATTTTATTTGGTAAATATTAGTATTGCCATCATACTGGAAAATACATAGACTAACGCTTAGTGTCTGAATATATATAATTTGGATAGTAACAAACAAACCAATTTAAAATGAAAAGGAGCGCCAGGGAGACACGAGATTCAGTCTGGCCAGCCAGTGCAGTTGTTTACTTTGTAACCCGACCCCAAAGTGAGTTAGGTTTCTTGCAGATGATAACAGAAGAGGGAAAATAATGTGGCTCAGGGACTGTGAGACAGACTAAGCAGTACTTCATTGTGACTATGATTAAGGCATCATTTTAAAACTCAAGGGTTATTTCCTTTGCGTTAACTGACAGGCTTTCGGTGTCAAATTATTTGGAACTCCGGCCAAAGATGATGTTATGCTGTCTGGAAATATGGCCTTTTTGTAATGCTTTGGTTGCACATGATGATATGTGATTGTTGTACATATGATGTTTTTGAAGGATAATCTCAGCTGACTAATACTTTTCACGTGTTTCCCCCACTCTTTCCATACCCGTAAATGTTAATTTTCCATATATATGTCTGTAAGAAAATATTGTAAAGTACTGGGATGGCTGAATTTGGCCACCTGAGGTGGTGACCACAGCACACTGGTTATACTGCATTGAGAGAGGACAGAGCTTTGGCAAGATACCAATACATATGCTTGTCATTTAAACCTTCATCTAATGTTTGGGGAATGTGATTTATAATTGAAGATGCTTCCTGCACCTGTAGCCCCAATATAGATGTTGTTAGTCTGTGAATCTTCCAAAATACTTCGTTTCTTCTTTTCAACTGAAATAAAGATCTTTGCCTTTTATCAAAATAATATATTTTCAGTCTTAATGTGCCTATGCCGGGAATCAACACCGGTTATTTTATACTGTCCTTGATACTGTTAAAGAATATACATTGGTACATTTATTATACATTCAAGATTGAACCCAGTTTTGTCACCATATAACCTTCAGTTTTTATGTTAGTACTTGATAATTTGATGCACACTGATAATTTATAGGAGGAATATCAATAATGATTGTCTGCGATCTTTATCCAATTTAGTTTTCCATTTATCTAGTAATTTTCAGTTTCTATTTCCTGGAAATTCTGTACGAAGGTACTTTTAACAGTTTCACCCAATAACACTAAAGCATACAGATAATACGTTTCGGTACTTTGATAGATTAACAACTACACATTATATTCCATGATATTGAGATACCAAAATGATTAACATAATTATATAATGTATAACAAATTAGACAGCAAAAGCAAAAGCCAGAAAGAAAACGCATGAGCAACATAAATGCTGTCAGGTAGTAAGCTTTCAATAATTATCGTTTCTGCTTAGTTATGAGCTAATTGCAATCACTACAATTTTCTGTAGTCTACCCAGGAGATTGAAACAAAATACGTCTATTATGAAAATTATAAGCTAATTGCAATCACTACCATTTTCTATAGTCTACCCAGGAGATGGAAACAAAATACGTCTATTATGAAAATTATATAAGCTAATTGCATTCACTACAATTTTCTATAGTCTACCCAAGAGATGGAGACAAAATAGGTCTATAGTATATTCCGTCTGGTAACTGAAATTTGACAAACGTCTGTATGGGATAATACGTACCTGTATTCCGAATCAAAAAGAGGTCATGCCAAGTATGTGCATGTTCACACATTTACAACAGTAATTTACACCGGGAATCATTAATATACTCATGCTAATAATGGTTGTCATCCCCTTAAATTGTTTTAGTTGGAGAGGGGGTGTGGGGTTGGGGTGTGAGGTGTGTGTGGGATTGGGGTGGGGAAGAGGGTGACAACCATTATTGGCATGAGTATACATTGTAATAATCTTTTATGAAAGTATAGATAATGAAATTTGTCCAGTTATGATCAGTCGGATAACTCATTCAGGTAAACACTAAAATTAGGGACCTACCGGTTAATGTCTGTGTGAACACATCTGTCTGTGTTTTATTGTAATTAGCAGTGTCTCCTTGTATAGCATATATAAGACTGACTGAGTTTGGTTTTACGACGCTTTTAGCAATATTCCAGCAACATCACGGCGGGGATACCAGAAATGGGCTTCACACATTGTGCCCATGTGGGGATCGAACCCGGGCCTTCGGCGTGACGAGCCAACGCTTTAACCATTAGGCTACCCCACCGCCCGCATATATAAGAAGTGTACCTAAGGTCAGTTATTTAAACCGTTATGTAATTTCAATTACAACAAGTATAAATGATATTACCTACTGGTCAGACAGACTTATCAGTACCCCAACGCCGACCCACCGCCACCACCACCCAACCCTTGGCCTACCCCATGCAACACCCTCTCCCTCGCACACACACACCCCTAACATACATATCGATCTGGCCCATAGACCCGATATTTGAACCTTTTAAACAGACATCATGTGTATGTCAAGAAAGACATGCACGCTATTAGTGGTGCTCAGTCATGGGTATCACTTCACCATGTGTTTCGAATTATCTCAGTACATTATAGCGTGGTCGGATGCGCTACTGAACCCTATGTGACAGTTATATTACAGAACCATTGAAATACATGTTAAAGTAGTGTTTATCTTGTAACACTCTATTTACCCATTACCAACCATTTACGCATTTACTAAATATATAACAAACCTAACCCTGGTCATACGAGATTTCAAGGGTATTGAAATGCATGTCCTACATTCACAGGATTTATATATGTTACACATGTTAGGAAACACATGAAAACAATGGCCAGATTTACACACCTGTGAAATACATGTAAATGCAGAGTTGAACGTCCGTTTATTTTATCACCCCTTTAAACGTGTGTAAGTCTGACGGCCAGATGATACGTAGATTTCAAACGTTGTTCATATGGCCGCCGGATGAAACGAGTATTTCCTGACGTTAGTAAATTTGGGCATTTAGTCATTTTGTGTGGTGTTGCTGATGCCTACACTACCGTCAGGTTGAGGATGCCGCAGCTTGTAGGTGTAGTTCTTGGGTCCTCCCAGACAAAGGTTTGAATGCTGTTGCCCCCTTCCAGTTCATCGGTCAGCTCACCTAAGGTATCTCCAAGTAGAGGGTTGTAGCTTAGTGCACGGTGAATGTTGATGATACTGTCCGTATCAAAATAGAGTACGCGTCGATCCAAGGGTTTCAAGTAGGAATACAGCTTGAGACAGGCTTGTGCTGTCAACCAGGCTGCAATGACCACATTGTGGGCGGAATGCAGCTGGTGAAATTCCGACTGAGGTTCGTAAGTGACACACACGAGGTCCTCGTTGACGAAGTGCACGTCCTTTACCACACAGCATTCATCCCGGAGGAGGGCAAAGAACCTCTTAGGGGAACTGATGTATTCGGTCTTGTCAAACCCGACTCGTTGGCCAAACTTGCCCCAGTGTTTGTTCAGGCAAGCTTTAGGATGTGAGCAGGATCTAAGGTGACTCCTTCTTTTCACTGAATCTCCCTGATGTAAGCGTCTGGGTCTGAACAGCCTTCTGGATATCCGCTGGCCCTTGCTTGATCTTGAAAAAATTGTTCACATACTTGGCAAACAGTCCTCCCTCTTGAGTGTCAGGGTCGTAGGTGGTGAGCGTGTCAAAGTGCCAAGCCTCAAAGATGTGAAGCACTTGATAGCCGCACTCTCGAACAGCATACTGAAGCTCCTTGCTGACGTACGTGCCGATCCATGCTCGGTCTTCATCCCCGTAGGGGCAGGAACCAGCCAACTGTGCTTCAGCACAAGCACGACACAGAGGATATAACAACTTGCCCTGGACGCAGTAAGGAAGAACGGGATGGTAGAGGCCGAGGGGTGGTAAGACTCGGCACTGGATGAGGCCATGTAACTCGAACAAGTCTGACACGAGAGGATGATCTTTGATCTCGGGATACCCCACAGGGTAAGTACCATACTTGCACATGTAGGGGTACAGAGAACAAACGTCCACATATTTGATTTCTTCATCTTCTTTGGCTTCGTAGTACAACTTGGTGGCGTTTGTGCATCCTCTAAAGAAGGCATCTCTGGGATCCAACGGTTCAGCATGTAGGCATAAGGTCCTTGCAGTGTGGTCAGGAACGCTCTCAGATCAGCGTTGTCTTTCTGTTCTTTTCGAAAATCACATTCCCACAGGGTCACCACTTGGTCGATGTCAGAATGTTGGCGTAACACCACCAGTCAGTACATCGTATGATGGTATTGTTCCCAAGGTGCTGTACCCATGGTACTGTGGGGTCCACATCGACCCGTCTTGTAACAGAGAGTACATCAGTGCCAGAAACAACCAAAGTATTCGTACATGGTGTGTGTCTCAGCGTCGTAGCCGTTCACCATGCATTGACTGCCATCAGCACAGTTAAAGCCTACTTCTCCGCCATTACGGGCATGCTGGGTGTGGAGGTCGGGGTATTGGTGCATGACCCAGTTGAGCCAGTGGAGACACTGCAGAGAGTAGCTGCGCTGGGGGCGATAACCTTGCAGAGGTATGATGGCGATGGTGCGGTGTTCCAAAAACAGTTTTCAGAAGGCTAGCATGCAAGCCATGGGTTATGTCACTGCTTCAGAGAAAGGGTCCACGTCTTTTTGTTGGATTAACATGTTGTGGAATGCAGCACAGCCTTGACGCAAAATGTCAATATCACTCTGGCAGTAGTTCAGCAATTCCTCTTCCAGATCAAAGACAGACCCTTCAGCCACGCGTGCGTCATACCAGGCCAAGAAAGCTTTCCGTTCGGCAGGAAACATACCGTCAGGATCGTAGGTAGACGGGAGGATAAGGGACCCACATAGCCTTGGTGAGCTTCGGTGTTGAAGTGAGGAAAGTAACCTTTCTTGAGTTCCGTCAAGGCAAACGTTTTTTGAAACTGCTTCAGAGCCATCGTGAGGACAGTGAGTGAATTTTTGAAGACGAGATGCACCACGTTCATCTGCAAGATGTGATTCCCTCGTAGTATGATCCGGGTTGCTTTCACCAAATGTTGATGGAAGTACTGTTGGAGCAAATGTCCATCATACCCACGGTAGTTGTGTGCAATGACCAAAAACTTGTCATCATCAATGGTAGGGGGAAATGTCCTCATAGTCTTCGTCGTCTTGTTCCTCGTCGTCTTGTTGTTCTACATCATCATCGGGTTCTAGTGATGGTTTGGATTGTTTGGAGGCTCGGGCTGACGACGACTGGTGTGGTGCCTTACGTTTCTTTTTGTTTTGTTTCTTTTCCGCCAGACTCATCAGTCAGTCGCCCATGTCCTTCAAGGTCGTAGATCCCCGAAACACTTTGATGTGGCTAGGCCCTTCTCCTTCCTCACGCCAGGGACACTTTTCACAAAGTTGATCCGAGGCCTTGGAAATACATTTTCCACATCCCAGATGCACCCCACACAAATTGGGAACATGATTACCTTGATCTTGGGTACAATCAAAATCATAGAAGATGAACTCACGCTGTTGTAGTTCTTTGTCTTCATCCTTGTTTTCACCGTCTTCATCTTGTGTGAGTGGTTTGATGACGGTCATGTAGCACTGATGGTTGGGTTCCAAGAGTTCTTTGCAGATCTTGCAGTTACGATTCGCGTCGCACTGGTGGTTGGCCCATGCCCTGGATTTTCTCACGCTGACTTTGGCTAGGCATCGATGACAAGTGTGGATGGTGGAGCAGGTGCTGGGTTGATATTTTGGCGGAGGCCGTCCAATGGCGTTGAAAGCAGTAAGGGTCCTCCATTGTCCACGTCGCCACAGAATCCAGGCCATCGACACCAGTGGCATTGCAATTCTCGGTGCAGCGATGATTTTCAGGGTGCTGCATCCTTGGTTACAGATTTCACAGTAGTAGTTATAGCCTGTAAAGCTGTCTTGGATGTAATGACTTCGTAATGCTGATGGATCTTGGTGAGTTGAAGCACTTCACTCTTGTACAGCAGCCGATTCATGACATCTTGGGAGTAGATTTTGAGTTGGTAGTAAGGGCGCCAAACGTTGACTGAACAGCTCCCACGTGGCACGTCCAGTACAAGGCCCTTCGGAGATCTTGAGTTGACAAATAAAGCCCCTGGCGGCCTTCAGTTGAACTGGACTGCGACTATCACAAAGTTGTTTCCATTCCTTCGTCCATTCCTTGGTCACAGGATCGGGTTTGTGTTCATGGTGACTGGCTACTACGACCAGGGCATGGGCAAAGCAGAGTTGATCATCATTCTTGATTTTGTAATGATGCATTGTTTCCTTACCAGGAAAGAGAGTGTGCCGATGATGTGCCTTGCCCGTCTGTGCCCCTGGCTTATACGATCATGATCTTCTAAATGCAGTAAGTATATATCCATGGTCTCATCGATATACAAGTCGTGGTTACTTTGCTGTACTTTTTCCACTTCGGCCATGATGTGTTCCCCCTGGAGGTCACCCATCTGCTGTAATGTTATTGAGATATCAGAATCCAGGGCTGGGTGTTTCAGGATCAATCCCACGCAATCACCATCCTGGCCGCTCACATTGTTTCTCAGGTCTAACAAAACAGCATCAAACTGCTCTCTGAGAACGACGGGGTGGTCTTCAGGTTGTTGACGCTGCAACCAAGCTGGATTGAACTTCAGCTTATAGCGATGAGTGTTGGCTCGGAACTTCTTGCGTGTTAGTAGGGACGTCGGCTCCAACCGGTAGGGCACAGAACTCTTCAAGTTCTTCTTCTTCTTCCTCTGCTTCATTAATTCGTGGTGACTGCATGGTGAGAACTGACAAGACCCACGCTGAGCCTAGTTGATATAGCCAACCTCACCCTCTGACGTCACAATCGGTCGTCCTAAGTGTGGCAGTGCGCACCATGAGCTCATTTGTTTTTTTTATATGAATGACGTCATACCCTGGAAGCATGCAAAAAAACCTCCCGCCTCTGCCTCTTCCTTCCGTTGCCGCCTGTGGGAAACAGATGACCACAGTTATCTGCACTGTCCCAAGGTGACCTGTACCGAGTGTGGTGTTCAAGGCCATAGTCATTGCGTATGTCCCAAGAAGGCCAAGGACAACAACAAGCACGATAACAACACCTGCTACAACTGTGGAAAAAACGAAGGTCATGTCAGTTACGACTGCCCACATCCCTGCCGCCACTGTGGTAAAGAGGACCATAAGAGAATGAACTGCACCAACAAGGCTCCAGAAACGCGGCTCCCGTCAACCAGTCAGCTCAACCGCCAAAGAAAGTGGGTAAACATGAAGACAATCGTCTACTGACTCTACTCCATGACAAGGTCATCCTCGTTTAAGACCGTGTAGACACCATGCACTCTCTACTTCAACGGGTCTTGGAGTTTGTTGAACCCATGGACGATTCAAGCAGCACGACCTCCAGTGGACCACCTTCGCGACAATAGATACCTCGGTGATGTCTCACCCATCCATGCCAACGGCCCTTTTCAGGGCCACCAACCCTGCTCGAAAGAAAACCTGAGTGACAAAGCTTGAACCACTCTTCTCTAGGCACGCCATTGTTTTCCACGCACGCCATCGCCTCTCACCACTCTCCTCCCTCCCTCCTTCCCTCCCACTCTCCCTCCCTCCCTCTCTCTCTCCCTCCCTCTCCTTCCCGTCCGTCTGCCATCTTGCATTGCGTCTACGCTCGCGAGATCCTGCGAGATTCCACAAGATCCCACCGGATGGGCCGCCATCTTGAACAGGGCGTCCTCGGAGGTGACGTCATGGGGATGCGCGCGCACGCATGAACCGGACGTGACGTCATCACGATGCGTGCACACACCGGAAACGGAAGCACCGGAACTCAATCCTTACATTATAATTTGTTCTCCTAAGGGCTTACATTATAACTGTTATCAAAGCTTTGTGCACATTACATTATTCGACCAGGGAACGAGTCTTCTTGCCGGTTACGGAAAAGCCCATTTGTGCTGTATTTAAAGCGTCATGCAGTATGCTTAAAGTAACAGTCACTGTAAGCATTTACTCAGATGAATAATGAATGTAGCTGTAAGACATCAATTCTACCGATATCAAACTCGAGCCTTGAGGAAAGAAGTTATTTATTGAAGGAAACGTTATATTATCGATACATAAATGACAAAGCGCTTTCGGCATCGATTAGAAATCGATATGATTAGATCTCATGAGCATGTCCCATTGAATCGCTATCAAATAGTGGGGATATCAGGTGTTCGCGAAAAAGAGAGCAAAAATCACAAAAATTACACACATAAAACGAATGTTAAGAACTGTGATATAATTACATACTTTTCAAAGACGACAGAATATAAGAAAGCGATATTAATGATATTAATGTTCATTTCGCTATTTTGTTAGGTAGACAGAAAAGGGTCAATATATATGTTTATATATATATATATATATATTGATTTCCTGGTTGGACGTTGTCAGTTTCTGAACAAGATCTTCTGTAACTTTAGATAGAATAGCAACGTATTTTCTTGAATACTATTGTCGATTGATTACAAGCTATAGGTAATAGATGATGACAGGTGGTGAAGCGCCAAGAAGCCACATTAAGATGGACATCCTTCTTCCCCAGGTTGTCCCACCATTGTCCATGATGGGCGTGCAATCATCACCTAAAAATATTATACATATGTGAGAATTGGAAACAACTCACGAACTATATAAGCCAAATATTAACCAGTTGTAAAAGATGTAATAATATACATTCTTTAACGAACGTAACGGAACACAAGTTATAAGAGTAAATACCAAGTATTAGAAGAAAGATTGGCGACAGACATTCTAAACATTGTATCCAAGAACGTAGAACAAGTTACGATTAGAAATCGTCTGCATGATAGACACCGACGATTTGTGTTCCCCTCCCATTACGCGTGCTGCTAGTGAAAACACTGTGGAAAGTGCAAACCGTGATCCATATTGTACAAGAAGGGGGTTAATGTGTACTGCTATCGGGACAATATAATGACACCCTTTGATGTCCCGATTGCAAGGCGTGTTTTGTTGGTGAATAGGTTTTGGGTGATGGGGTGGTGTTCGTGGTGGAAACGACCGTGCCCAGCCTGACGAATATGCACTGCTCTCCTGCAGCAGCACCATAAACAGAAGAAGGTCATCAGGTCATCAGGTCACTTCCGAAGCTCTGAGGCTTCGTGAGTTCAAGACTGGGATGTCATACGCAAGATGTTCGTGGGAACCTGGTTTCCTGGGTCTGCTGCGTTAGCGCAGGCGCAACAGACCCAGGGAACCAGGCTGTGTTCGTGGCTGCACTGTGGGATGATCATGTCTTACCGCCATACGTATTCATCCAGTACCCCCCGTGCTCGTTGGCATGACAGATGAAGCAGGGGTCGTCTCCTCTGATTTCACCTTCACGTACACATTTCCCTTTATGTGTGCAGTATCCGCCCTAAATGTCAGAGTGGAAAGTGAGATGGGAAGATCACATTTAAGAAAATTTCTGAAAATGCTTATTTTCAAATATTCGTCAGGATTCCAATTATCAATACAACAAATTTAGTTCCGTCCACTTTACCACGAGTAATTATGAAATGTTTATTTCATATACAATTGTTAACGTTCCCAGAAATCTCGATTCTTCAGGCTTTGATAGAAAGTGCTATACATCGTAAGCTTTATATGTGAGCAAGTGAACGGTGTTTACTGTCAGTAATGTACCAATTTATATTACGGGTTGTCTTTCTTTGTGCTCCAGAAAGGAACCGATCATAATTTATGGCAAGAGGGGTGTAGATTATTTTCAAGGAAGAGCATGTACAATGTGAATGGCCCCCACCGCACCCCCAAATTTATTGTAGAAAGTGACTCCCCTGCATACTATGTACAAAATCAATGACACCCTTGTATGTGTGACCCTTTGTAAAATGGGTGACACCCCCATCATAACATCAACACCACCACCCCAGCCATAGGTTATGAAGGGTCCCTTATGATATATTTATACTAAATTTGAATCTAAATTAAAAGAGGGCATTAACCTGTACTCTCCATTCCATAGTGTCCGTGTCGACGGTGACGCATGTCGAGTCGTACACAAGGAACCGCAACTCATTACTGTAGGCGCGACCATCTTGAGACACTGACATATTGTAAGCCGTGACAACGTCGTCATCTCCGGGGTCTGGCGTTGTGCATGTCACCTCACTAATACTCTCGAACACTGCCCTTAGTGTTGTACTGACTGGAGCGGCCAAGTTTCCATCCCGTGTTACCTTTGTTTAATTACACAGTATTTGCATCAATAGCAAAACAGGCACATTTGATGTAATGTACAAGTTTAAGTTATTTCAGTTTTAGCAAGCGTGACACAATAATAAACTTATACAATGCCATTAATCATCACAAGACTACTCTGTTTCAACCATACGATGAGCTGGATATTGTCAGATGTTTAAAATCGTGCACATTAATATTCTATTAATAGGGCAGTGCAGTTAATCAGGCCTGCACGAGATAATCCAGTGATTGGCATCATGAAAATATTGGCATCATCCTCAATTAAGGTATGATTGGACACATCCAGCCAGGTCACGAAACATGACCATCTGTGCCATTCAGTGTTCATCGCTATAAATTAAACTCTTTACTTGGAGACCCCAGTGGTGTTGAAGTTAACTGAAAGTGACAACGATAGTCTCACTGGCTGATGTTCTTTAAAAAATATAAGAGTGGATCTTATGGTTTTCTATTTCCAATGACATCTTACCACATATTTCTTCATTTGACATTTTGAAGTTTCTTCACCACTAAAGATGTCACCCAACACCGCCATCTCTGCACACCTGCCCGTAGCTAGGTCACATGTACCTCCCTCGCTGTGGTCGACAAGAACAGGGGGAATGGACAAATCAACCGAACAGTCCCCTCCACCGAAGCCAGTGTCACAATGACACAGTCCTGGAATTATACGTATGTAATGGCCATGAATTCTGAACAAAGGAGGATAGACAAACAAATATAGCACAGGATGGCATGGCTCAGTAAGTCTATGCAAATTGCCTCCCTCAGGACTGACCGCAATCCTGAACGTAATCTGGTAATATGAGAGAGCGAGTGAGGTGAGTTAACATTTGACGTCACCTAGGCAATATTTAAGCCAAATAGTGACGGGAAAGGTTTTGCATACACAATAAATACAAGTTATTAAATAACCAGTCTTCGATCAAGGATTGTACAATAACTAAAATATTACAGATGGTGTTTAAAATTAGCATGTAAATCTAAAGCGATTTTATTTACGAAGACAAAATGCAATATAAAAACAGGCTATAGGTCGCCAACAACTGAAGGTAGGTCACCATACTAGGGACCACGGGGACTTACAGTGCAATTGCTACCTGCATGGACCCCAATTGGATTACACCATCCCTTCAGCTGCTGGCAATTGTGGGAAAATTTAGCCATAATTTAATATAATAAAAATACTACGTTGAAAAACCCTGGTAAGTTTAAATTTACTTTTGGGACTTTACCTACCCCTCCTCAGGAGGACAATAATTTTACGATACTTTAACCCCCTTAAGATACAGACACTCACAATCGCAGTTGTTAATTTATACTACCATTTATAAAATTCCATTTATTTATTTACAAAACATATTGTTCACAATGTATCTAATACTTCTATTTCATTAAAAACAAGTATTTAATGATAATTGATAATTAACCTTATAAAAGAGATCCTTAATTGTTTTGACATTCAAAAACGTATCCCTTTTCATGGACAAATCAATATAGTCAAGCACGTCTTGCATCGTCACATTGAGACCTCTTCAAATCTGGACTGACAACCCAAGTAGGTCTAACCGATATTTGCTTTACTTGATGTAATTTATTTATGCCTACTTGGAGATATATGATCTAATGGCAGCTTTGTAATCAGAGTAGTGGTGTCACAGATTTGTTAAGTGCTGCCCTAGCAGCAGCAAGATCAGCCATTATGTTACCAGAAATGCCAACGTGGCTGTGTAACCAACAAAAGACGATGTCGTATTGGTCAATAGCAAGATCATTATATAATTCAATAATTTTAATTAAAAGTGGGTGTTTACAGGATAGGTTTTGATAGCATGAAGGTACGAAAGAGTGTCAGTAAAGACTATATATTGTTTATATGTAGGGGTGTTTTTAAAATATATATTTATGAGTCGTTAATATGGCGTTTGCCTCAGCTGTGAAAAATAGAGCTGTTATCCGGTATTCTAGAAGAAATTGTTCTGATCCAATTACAGTGGCACAAGCCACTGCGCCACCTTCCTTTGGCCCATCTATAAATAAAGTTTTGTATGTATTATATTCACTTTTTCAATTGGTTAAATTCCCTTGTCTATATTGGAATTCATTTGTTTCTGATTTCTTGTAAGTTGTGTTAGGTCAACTTGTAGCTTCACCATTTGCCAAGGAGGAGACGAAAGAAGACAGGAAGGATATATATATTTTGCTAGCTCAAAGCCAACAGCAGAAAGGAAAGATTTGATTCTTATTCGTAGAGAAATAAGAGATGGCCTCTTGTTGAACAGATCCTCATGATAAGAATTAACAACGAAAGTTAAATGCAGGGTTAGAATCGTTTGAATATAGTTTTGGGATATACTGTAAGGATAATGTTATAATGACGTTGGTTAAGAGATGGCTCATCGGCTTCGACGTAGAGACTGTCAACAGGAGAAGTTCTAAAAGACCCAAGACAAAGTCTTAGACCTTGTAGGTGGTCAGAAACTAAAGGTTTTAGGTTGCTTTTGCAGGCTCCACCATATATATGATGGAGCTGTAATCAAGTTTCGAACGCATGGGTGATCTGTGTAAGTGTAAGTGTAGGAGGGTAGTTTGGCTCCTCCCTACTTTTGAATTAGAAACGATTTCCAACAAGGCATGTGACTTCAGGCATGTATATATTTTAAGTATTTAATATAGTAAAAAAGAAGAGTAACATTTAATAAAAGTGAAAAATAAGTTCCAAGAACCTTGCCTCCTTCCCAACCTTGATTGGTTTGCAATTTAAAAATAGTTCTGGGTCCTTAATCGGATTATTTTTTACAGAAATTTATACAGTTAGTTTTTAATTTCGAAAATTTAAAGACGTTTTCAGTTGACCATTTATGAATTTTGTTGAGAGATATTTTGTATCTGCCTCTTTATTGTATGCATATTTTTGCCACGGAAAGAAACATTAAAATCATCCAGAAAAAGGGAACCATCTACTGAATCCTTTAAGACCGTTCAAAGACCGTTTAATTTTATATTGAACGGCGTTACAGACAAAATACTGCCTTGTGGGACATCCTGATACTGATTGTAATGGTTAGACAGAGTTTTACCTACTTGGACTTGAAAAGAGGTAATAGACCTCTCAAACCACAAGCATGTAATTCAACAGTTCTTTTCTTTTTTTTCGGACACTACATTGTGTATTAGTAATTAACTTTATTGGTTTCCAAATACCAAACTGATATATTATTAACGATTCTTTTCCGTGGTTTTACAGACACAACAGAAGTTGGTCTGTAATTTAAAGGATCACTATCATTCGCCAAGTTTTGGTATAGGGACAACAGGCTTACTTGCCTGCTTTCACATTCATTTTAAACCATGGTTTGGTGAATATGTGGACTTGTAGAGGACTTTGGTATACTTTGGTCAGCAATGTTGGTAAGTATATCTGAGAACATCTCTTCGCTTTTCATGGAAATACATCATTGTTTACATTGATCAGTACAGATTGTCTTATATATTCACTGATCAGCCCTGGTGAAGTTCCTGCTTGGTAAAAGTGGATCATCACCAGGGTTGATTGTTTTGGGACTGGTGGGAAGAGGTCACTCCACATAGGTCATAATAGACCATCCATTCAAATTCATTATACAAGATGGAGTTAGCGAGTGACAGATCCAGGGAAGAATATGTTCCCGTAGCTGGATGTAAATATGTGCTTGTATCGTCGTTAAATATACATAGGTTATTATCTGAAATGAATTCTTCAAGGATTTGACCTTTATTGTTTGTATGGGCACTTCCAAGCGGGTTGTGTCTGTTATGATGGCCCATGATGAGACATGGCTTCGGAAGTTGATCATACAGATTTTGAAGTTCTGATTGTTCAATGTTAGAAGGAGGGATATACAAGCTGCACAATTTCAGGGCAATATGCAGAGTCAGAGTCACTTTAACAGCTACAGTTTGAGATTGGCACTTAAAGGGACAGGGCTACGATAATACCCTGCAGTACCAGAATAGAAGCACCTCCAGTTGCTTCATCTCCTGGAGGAGAAAAGAAGTCATAGGAAATGTCTTATATCAATACGATTTAAGATAGGTTTACTGAAAACAAAATGTCGATGGTTTGAAATCTTGTATTCGTAACTGTAAATCATTATAATTATTCTTTATTTCTCTACAAATTCACTGAACAATGGTATTTCAGCTACTCATGGAGGCTCAGCTGAAGATCGTGAGTTGAAGTGGTGTCTACTCCAACGGACTGAGGGATTGACCTCCATCTCCAAAGGTCCAAATTGATTCTGACTCTGTGTTGATTCTGTGGCACATTCTGGTTCAGATGGTGGATCTACTGAAAGCCGTGATGTGATACTCTCTGTCAGGGAGGACGATACATTGATACATTGATACATTGAAGATGTCCATTTGAAAGCGTTTGCTGTGGGCCCGACGGACACCTCCGATGGACTCAAGAGTGACTGGAATCGAGTTGTCTTTAGTGATGAATCAAGATTTACCCTCAGATTCGCTGATGATAGGTGTAAATGTAGGAAAATCATTGGTGGTATGCGGTTGTGAGAGTTGCGGTTGTGAGAGTTGAGGCCGCTTTGGGCGCAAGTGGAAAGGGAGCGCATGGCATATTGGATGCGATGAGATGCAGTGCCAGTTGTGACCTCGGGATGTTTCTCCTTGCGTTTGATTGTAATTTCAAGTTGACATGTGTGATTTGCGATGTTTTTATGAGGCCCTCGACAGGTCTCCGTAAATAAACTATTTGACACCAAGCTGTCTTGCGTTCTATGCTCATGGGATATAAGTTTTCAACCAACGACAGACCGTTAAAGTAAAAACATTACATGGATCATCCGTCTGATGTGAGTAAAACAGTTTCTCAGATGTGAGTAGCTTCATTGAACACTTTGTAGTGAACTTTTATCTGTGAATGAGAAAGCTTATTTCTTATTACCGACGTGTGCCGTGAAGTTTGTACACGATATACCTCCAGCTGTAACCATGACTGTTTTAGGATTCAAGTGACTCGTCCGATGCAATTCTGACTGTAATGTGGTATTACAGAATAATAACAGAAATTGCATATGCATAACGGTGTCTGACAACAGTGCATGACTATCAACATGAGTGACAGTATATATCTGGTCTGAAATCCAGCCACAGTCGTAAATCTCGTGCTGATGCGGCAGCAGATGTGGCAGCGTTAAAGGTAAAGTTACAGTATGTTGGTAATGAAGAAAACAAGATCTGAAGTGGAAAGAGTTAAAACTATGAAACATCTAGCAATAGCAGAAGCTAGACTGTTTGCACTTCTACTCAAGCTGATCTGGAAAAATACAATTCCGTATGGCAGGGATGATTCAGACGTATTTCACAAGTTCATAAACACGTATCTAAGACCCAGGATGCAATGGATAATGTTAAAATATATGTTGAGTCTCTCCTTACACCTGAATCAGACACATGTTGTTGACTCTTCACCACAGTTGAACACTCCTATAATTCAGAGAGCAAGCAGAAATCTTGAGGCAGAAAACTCAAGACCTACCCCAGGTCTACTTGCGTCTACAAAACTTGATGCATCTGCCAAGGAATTTGTTCCACAGGATGTGGCAGATATAACAAGATCCTTTGCACAACAGATTAACCTAAGCCGATTACCTCCACCC